AAAAAAAAAAAAAAAAAAAACTTGCGTTGAATAAGCGGTTTAGATGCGCGTCGAACGGGAGTGTACGTTTTGGTTGTTTAAGAAAATGGATCGCTATAAAGACGGTTTTCGATTTCTCGTCATGCTAGAACGCGAAGCGCCGACCCGGACTTTACGATTGTCTCTCGGTCTCAATCGAGACCTTTTCTTTTTCACGCCGATTTCCTCCCCAGTTTTTTGCACTCGGTCGTCGTTCACCTCGGATTCAAATCGACCGATCTAGTTAGTAACCGGTTCGCCTTCCTTATTACGGTTCGCTTCTCTCGATTTTGATGTATTGCGGGTAGGTGGTAATTTAAGGGGAATCGATCGGGCAACTGGATTCACCGGTGGAAGCTCGAACTAAACCGCGATCGTTTCGCGAATCTACCTGATCGCCGATCCGTATCGAGCGACTGCCTCTCGTCCCTCCTTCCTCTTTTGTATGGATTTCGAAAGCAATCTCACGGGAACCGAGATCGCGCAGGTGTTTACGTTCTCATATTTCAATTCGAAATTCCACGATCGACCGGATAAATCCTCCTTCCTCTCGTTTCCGTTCTCGATCGAATCTGCCGCAACCGCGGTTGAAAGTTCACGCTTCATCTCCATGCGATCTAACCGTCCCGGTTTTAACGAGAGTTTAACCCTCGCTGTATTTCAATACGTTTGAAACCTTCGTACTGACCTCCGACAGTGAAGAAGCGTCACCATGACCACAGCCCCGATGCCAGCCGATACTAACGACACTATCACTAGAGTCAGCACCCATCCAAGTTCTCCAGGAGCTTCTGTAAAAAGAGGGAAAAACAGCGATTAGACGACGAATCATTGTAAACACTCTAAGAGGGAAAAGGGATCGATTCTATCGCGCTGTCCAACCGTAACGATTCCGACCGATCGCTTCTCTGCGGCGACGCAGAGATGCCAAACATCGATGTAAAAAGTTTGTTTCATCGGTACCGATGTGTTCTCGTCAATCGCGAAAGGCTGGAACTCTCTCGTTTTTCACCTATAACTGTTGCTGTACTATTCGTTGACAGTTGAATTTGACTTTTAAAAAAGGAAAATTTAGAAATGAGATTTTAACTCTTTCGCTTTGATACATCATAGCATATGGTAGGAGTTCAATCGCAATCTACACTGAGAGAATTGACGAAATTTTTCGTCAGCGTGTTCTCAGGAAATATATTGAAATAATCAGCACACTGAGTTGCACTATATTAAACTAGTACTATTTATTTATTCGTACTCTGTATTGAACTCTGTTCGTGCACATACTAAAAATTTCATACATAATCCTACATCACATTTCTTGCGTAATCTCCTTTCTTCTTCTGTTACGTTCTCTACGCATTTGCGCCTTTTTGTGATTAATTTGTTATTACATTTGTTACACCTTTTCATTTTAAATAACTGTAATATAATCGTGTTTAATATATGACTAACGGAAGATGTAATTGTTGAATTAGAATTTACTTATGTCTGATCCAAGTGAGGTTCCCTGCAACTATTATAGATAACATTTACTATAGGCAGCTATAGGCGCGTTTTTGATTCGAGCAATGTGAAGTGAGCGCCTATATAGGCGCCCCTCGTTTCAGTAGATCTAAGAAAGTTAAGCCAATAGTCTCGAAAGTAAATTTTTAGGCGCCAACAGTAACCAAAGGCTTAATTTTATAGACTGAGCTTGTCTAATCGAAATGTGATATACTTCAGAGACTAGTTTTGCTCAACGACGGAGATCTACTTCACTTTAATGAAAACTTT